AGCGGCGCACAAGTCACGGCCAGTGACGGGCGCCGCCGCTGCCGGCGGTCCGCTCGGAGGGTCGTCACGTCGGCGCCGCGGCGGCGTCGTGACCGGCCCCGTCCGGCGGCGGCGGCGATCCCTGCCCAGCTGGCACGGCCTGTTTACCGGGCCGCCCCGCGCCGCGATCGATGGCTGGCTTAGGATGGAGCGGGCCGAAATTGTTTAACGCCCGCCGCTCGCTATACCTGGCCGTCTATTAGGCCGGCGCCACTGGCTGTAACACGTTCACTTACGGCGGCCGAGAGGCGCCCGGGGGCACTGCGGCCGCCCGCACGCGCATTGAACGGGCCCGCTGGCCAACGGTCGACCCTTCGGGGAGGGAGCGAGTTAAGGACGTGAATGTCGCACTTTATGCAGTCCACCTTGCGTATATGCCCTCGAATCAAACCGCATTGAAATATGTCTGAAGAGGAAAAATGGTTCTGCTGGGGTCATCGGCTTTGATTTTATGAACTCATGTAGCGGACGCATGCTGTAAATGTGTGTTCGGTCATTCCCGGCGAGTGATCATCGACGATTTACGAAGTGGTTCTCGAGTTGCGAGACGCAACCAGGACCGCTCCAACTTCATAACTGGACCAGGTGATGTGTACATTCGCTTTGCAGCGTCCACCAATCGGGTCGTCGTGCTGAGCTGCGGGCATTGCGGTGCAGCATTGTGATCGGCGGCCGGCGGTCGCCCGAACGTCGAGTATTGCGGTACAGCCGCACAGCCAGGGGCCGGCCGTCTCACCGGCGCCGAGTGATGCGGTGCAGCCGCACAGCCAGGGGCCGTCCGTCGCACCACTGGTGGCGAGTGTTGCGGTGCAGTCGACCGATCAGGGGTGTTTGCCACCCGGCCTGCAGCGGCGTGGCCGCTATCTGGCCGAGCTATTGATTGATGCCCCCTGTATAAGGGCCGAATCGATCCCGGTCCGCCGGCGTTATCGGCCCGGCAGCCGGCCGGCCGGTTTACGGGACTGGCGTCGCGCCGCGTACCGCCCGGCAGCCGGCGCCGGGAGACGCGGCCGTCGAGTCGGGCCGGCGCCCGGCCCCGCCGGCAGCACGGCCGTCGGCACGGTCCGCGGTGGCTTCCGGTAGGGTCATGGTGGGACGCAAGCGGGATTCTTCTTTTGCGAAGTGTTTTCCATGCCCGCCGCTCGTGCGAGTATGGTTTGTGCTCGTGCGTGGACACGTGCTCTGTGCCTTTCCTTCCGTAATCAAAATGTGCTGAGTGTGTTCGCATTGGACGGCGAAATATTTCATCGCGTTGGAATTTCCCGATCGTAGTTCTGAAGTAATGGAATAGTGAGTTGCATTTCCGTGAAACTACATCAACCAAGTGTTCTTCGTTTTGTCACAGCAGCAGCTGCCGCTGAAGCCCGACAACTCGTAAAAGAAAAGGGCGTTAATGGGAATAACCGTGTACAGTATTAACCTTTTCTGTGTGAAGTTACCCTTTGACGGTGCTGCTCCTGGTGCTATTGACTGCTGGGCAATGGCTCAATGATGCCCGACTCGGCCGTGCTGGGGCAGCCCAAGTCCAAATGTAGGTAGCTGAGACAAGGGCGGTGGGTGGCCCCTGGCGGCCAGTAGACCACAGTAAGTTGTGGTGATATTAACTGGCGTTGGCTGATGGCGTGAACGGCATCGCAGCGAAAGGCGAATGGTGTAATGAAAGTTTGATCGCTTCTCAAACGCGAGCTGCGCTCGTCATTGGTCCCGAGCTTGTCGAATGCGTCGACCAGTGACGGCTATTGCGAGGAATGGCGCGGTGTCGATGATACGAAAGGAGGAAATTGTTCTCCGGGCGCACACGGCCCGGCTCATTTGGATCCGAAGCTAGTCTTCTGAACTTTGTCAGCCCGCGCTGCTGTTAGCAAAACGGAACTTCATCGTTGGCTAGCTACTACGGTGATATCGATGTCGTTTTGTGTATTTGTCGCTGACGAACGTCAGTAACCGTGGCGACGGGCCGTCTCAGGGAGTGTTGTCCGAAGCCGGCGCGCCGCGTTGCGGTGCACCCACCGTCTGATCTGGGCATCCGTCGTCTGATCTTCTGAGCATCCGTCGTCTGATAGTTGGATTATCCGCCGTCTGTGCACCCGGCGTCGGCGAAGCGACATGACCGATAGGAGCACGTCGGCTTGTCAGAGTCACTACGGCAATCGTCATAATGGAATCAAAACGAAACGTACTGAGAGGAGCATGACTGACGTTCTGTTCAGACAACACAAGCTCTGCGCTATTCTAAGTCACTCCGTGGCGTTTTAGTGGTCGCGGGTGGTGGTTTTCTGCCCTCGAGGAATGATATTATGGCACCTTTGCCTGCTGTGGGCGACGGCGCTGTGCGATGTCGGTATCGTTTGCGCATCTCGTCCATGTGCAGCACCACTGGCGCTTGGGGATCTGCGAATGGCTGCCGTCGCTCCATCTCGCCGGCACTGACGCGTCTCAGTCGAGCCATGAGAAGGCGCTGGTCCCGGTCTCGGTCCCGATCTCGGTTTCGGTCTCGGCCTCGGCCTCAGTCCCGGTCCCGGTCCCGGTCCCGGTCCCGATCCCGGTCCCGGTCCCGGTCCCGGTCCCGGTCCCGGTTCCGGCCCGGTCCCGGTCTCGGTCCAGTCCCGGTCCCAGTCCCAGTCCAGGTTCCAGTCCCTGGTCCCAGTCCCAGTCCCAGTCCCAGTCCCGGCGCGCCCGCGCACCACAGCCGGCGCCGTGCACGGCCAGCGGCGCTCCGCCGGCCGCAGCCGGCCGCCGCCGCCGGCTCCTTCGGGCCACGCTCGCCGTGTGACGCCGGCTGGCGGCGGCGAGGCGTGACCGGCACACCGGCGGACCGGCGCCGGTCGGCGGCGCGCGGCTGAGCTCTGCGTGACGTCACCACCCCAGTCGGGGACTCGGAGTCAGGCGGCGAGGCGTCAGCTGACCGTCACGCCGCGAGACACTGACCTGAGCCGACCGCTGCGCGCGGCTGCCGCTCACCATAGCACAGCTGTGTCAGTGGCAGTCGCATCAGCTTATCAAAAGTGCCACCATGCCCCGGCGATGAGGCGAGCCTCAATCACCATCGGCCGTGTCATTGGCGGGTGCGCCGGTGTAGTTTCTCGGCGCCTCACCGGCCCCGGCGGCTGAGTGGCGCCGGCGGCACCCTCTGAACGGCGCGCGCCGAGCGCTCCCAATTTGTGCGCCGCACCGTTGGTGGACTTCGCAATCGGCGCTATTGGCTGCCGGAGGCCGGCGGCTGGCGCTGATGACTGCCGGTCGCCGTTTGCTGCGATGGCCCCGGGCCGGGGCGGAGGCGGCGGCGCGCGCCTCGCGCTCGGCACAGACGGACGGACCGGCGGCGGCGGCCGCTCACGACACGCGGCACTGATCCGGGGAGGAGCGCCGTCTGGCGTCGCGTCGGCGTGGTATCTGTCGCCGTCGGCTGGTGGATACAGTTTGTGCGATGGATTTGCTTTCATTGGGCGATTACCCCATTTGTAGCTCCTGTGTTCAGCGTGGTGGTGTTGGAAGGTGCATGACTCACCATGCGTGGGCTACGCTGTCCGGACTGAGCCGTGGCAGCTGGTGGGCACGCAGGCCGTGTGACCTGGGATCACTTGTAATTCACTGTTGGCGGACTGGATGTTTTACCGCTCAAGTAACTGCCCTAGATCATCGTGAACGAGTGGCCGGCCCTGAGCAGTTCCGTGCCTTGGAAGTATTTGTTTCTTCCTCTTATTTCTCGTAAGTGTAGGGAAGTCCTGCAATCCAAGTTTTCTTTCATGTCAGTTGTGCTTATTTACGTTATTTTCATTGCGGACATTGTAATACAGAAGGAACAACTGAGATGAAACCGAAGTGCGGTGTCCCACTGCGTTGGTGCGTCGTCCAGCACCGTGTGCTGACGCGCTGGGCGGGCCGCTCCTGCCGCGGGGTCGGGCCCAGGTAGCGAGCCGGCAGACCTCGAGCCGCTGCCTCCACAGAGCGTCCAGAACATCCGGTCGGAGGCCGGCCGCTCGGCGACTGACGGCGGTTGGCGGCCTCTGAGCCTCCCCGGATCGGTGAGTAGCGGCTCGGCGCCGCGCCGCGCCGCTGCCCGCAGGCCGCCGGGCCCGCCGCCGGCCGGCACGGCTCGTTCCGCTGCTGGCTCTGCTGTAAAGATTCCGCCAATCCTAACCGCGTGGCAGAACAAACTGGAAACGGAAATTTAATAAGAGCCGAAAGACCGGGGCGCTGTTTGCCCATGCAGACGGCCCTTTTCATCCCGACGTGGAATTAATGTAGCGCTCCTCGACCGGATTTTCTGACTTTGGGACGATTAGCCGATGCCTTCGCCAGACGCTCGGGCGAACGTTAGAAGTACCGCACTGAGAGTGGCTCTGTCGAGAGAGAGGAGAGAGGGAGAGGGAGAGGGAGAGGAGAGGGAGAGAGGAGAGGAGAGGGAGAGGAGAGGGAGAGGGAGGGGAGAGGGAGAGGGAGAGGGAGAGGAGAGGAGATAGAGAGAGAGAGAGAGAGAGAGAGAGAGAGAGAGAGAGAGAGAGAGAGAGAGAGAGAGAGAGAGACCGTTCGATTTCGACCGTTGGACCATGCTTAAAGGTTGCGTATCACAAATATTGCTTTACGTCGGATGTGACGAATGTGATGTGACGATGTCCTCGTATGAGGACAGGAGAGAGAGGGAGAGGGGCTCTTGAGGGTGGGATGACAAGCTCTCCGCCATACCCGCTCACCCGTCTGGGCCACGGGTGAGACTAAGACGGGGCATGCCTCTGCAGTGGCCCTTCAAGCCGCCCCTTCTCTGCAGCGGTGTGCGAGTGGCGGCGCTTGCAGCTGTCACCAGGCTCGGGTCCGTGCTGCGTCCGTGACGTGACGTGACGTAGCTCGGAAAGCTGGGACCGTTCCCACCTGCTCGGAGCGACGTCCGTCGATGTGATGGGATCGTGTCAGCTCGTGGTGTCGTCCGACACGGTTCTCACGCGCTGTTGTCCTGTTTGCAGACGCTGACTGTGTCCATGCTCCTGCGGTACTCTCACCAGCAGATATTCCTCTTCATTGGTAAGTGTACGAATACAGACACCGGCCTCACGTGGATACAACAGCGTGGCCTAGCCAGATAGTAGTCAAAAAAGACGGCACCGATCTGTGGCAGGTGGGCGGCAGCCTCGGTTCCGCCATGTCCGCATGCGCGTCTTTGCCGAATGGAAACCTTTGTGTCCATGCCATTCTGTCTCTATCCCATATTTAGATAAATATTCGGAGCATCACACAGTTCGCGAAGTGGGTGCCTGGTTTCCACGCTAGGGGTCTGACGTCCCAATCCGTGTTAGGTGTTCGTGAATAATTTTCGTCATTAATGCTTCCCAATGAATGTGAAACGACATTCGAGTTTCATGGTGTTCGGTGCCTTTAAATGTTAATCGTTTTGCTTTTCGTATTTGCATAGTTTCGATGTCATCGTTTGTGGTGTGTTATTGTTGATGTGTCGCTCATTCACCCGGTTGCCTCGTGTGTTATCATCCTCAAAATAGTTAAGTTAGGAAAAATCGAACCCTGTGTAGCAGCGTCGTGTCCGTGCACAAAAGCACATGTCCTCTAACCAACGCTTTACCGATATTGCTTACTTGCAATTATCTGAGTTGCTGAAACATGTCTGAAGCACGTCAGCACGCTGCTCTAAGCGTCGCTTGTCGTGGGCTGTCGTGTTTTTTTCATGTAGTCGTTCGTCACACACTATTTTCGTGCCGCCAGTGTGACTGGTTAGGAGCCCTGCACGCCGCTGGCAGTGGCAATACCTGGTGAGCGTTGTTGAGGTCTCAGCGCGCTGCATCCCCCTTGCATTCGGCCCCGCGGTTTCAGCTGTTCATGCGCCCTGGGAGTCTCCGCTCATTAGGGCTTGCGCGCCGCGTATCTGCCATTGCCACTGCCCCTGCCATTGTGTGTGCCATTGTGCGGAGAGGGCTCCGGGTGCCGTGCTCCCTGACGGGCAGGTGTGTTTGGCGCCTCAGCCCTCGGTGTGCCCTCACTGCTGGTGGTGCAGATGTGTGGCGCACGGTGGGACCGCCCGGGCGCGTGCTGGGCCGGCGTCGAGTCTACCGGCCGGGTGGATGTGCTCGGACCGGTGTACCTGCCGTCGGGCGGGGGTCGTGTTGCGGCGTGCCGGTCGGGTGGCTGTGCTCGGACCGGTGTACCTGCCGTCGGGCGGGGGTCGTGTTGCGGCGTGCCGGTCGGGTGGCTGTGCTCGGACCTGTGTACCTGCCGTCGGGCGGGGGTCGTGTGGCGGCGCGCCGGCCGGGTGGCTGTGCTCGGACCGGTGTACCTGCCGTCGGGCGGGGTCGTGTGGCGGCGCGCCGACGGACTCCGGCTGGCGGCGCCCGCCCGGCAATATCGGCTGGAGAGGGCGCCCGGCCGCTATTACAGCCGAAGAGGCCGGCCGGCGGGCCCACGGCCGCGGAACGCGAGCCGGCCCGCCGCCAGGCCCCGCTCTCTAATGGTAACGGGAGCCGGCGCCGCCGCCGTCCCGGGATGCCGCCCTCCTCTTAACGATCTCTGTATGAAATGTGGGCTGTGATTTGAGTGCGCTGCCGGCGCTCGAGTGTCGGCCGGCCGTGGACGCCGGCGCCGGCCGAACTTGTCCGGCCGGCGGCGGCCGATCTGTTTTCGTGGCCCAGCCCGAGCGCCGACCCCCGACGGGGCGGAACGGCCCGGGGCGCCCCGTGGCCATGCGGCAAGTTGGGCTCAAGTTCTGCGTGCTCGGTACTCCAGGGCACCGGTCGATCAACCGGCGGCCGGCGACAGCCCATGCAGCCCTTGCAGCCACGGGAATGCTCTCGGTTTAAGTAGCGTTCCTCGCGGCTGGTCGCCGTCCGTATTGATCAGGGGCCGCGTGCCTCGCGCGCGAAGCCTCGCACCGCCGGATGGGGTGATAATTATCGCGGCGGCGGTGGCGTGTTTGGAGTGTGCGGGCTCGACGCGGGCGTCGCGTGCTCGTTGCGGCCGTGCCGCGTCCGGTCCGGCCTTGAAGATGGGGTCGGCGGGGGCAGATGTGGAACGCCGCGCTCCGGGGTCGCCGAGCCCGGCGGACGCGGCAGGAAGTGGCCTGTAACGCTGACGAGTGCTGCGGAAGGCGCAATGGCCTCTTTTCCGGGAGCATGGTCACATCTCTCCGGACATTTCCTTCTGCGCTGCCTTGTTCGCCGGTGGTGGGTTTCAGGGAGGGTTATGTCTTAGCCCTTTTTAAGGGTATGGCCAAGTTATAAAAGCTGCGAAAGCTAACATATAAACGTTGAAACACCACAAATACAAACGTCAGTTCGAGGGAAAGGGCAAACCAGCTCCACAGCGCAACGCCGTGACCGCGTAGGCGCCTCCAGTATCACGCGAATGGCTGACCCGAGCCTCACGCACGAAACGCAGAGACGCGGGCCATACCGAGGGAAAGGAACTCCCCCAGCGCTTTAGTGTCACAGAGACGGTCGGCTGGTGAATGGCGGGGCTGCGGCGTGGCCGCGGAGCCGAGGACAGCTGCAGACGAGCACGGAGGTGATTGTCTGCTCTCCGAAAGTTGGCAATCACCACCGCCGTTGGCGCTGGTGATTGTCAACTCTCCGCGATGGTGCCGGAACAGGCGTGCGTGCTAGGGAAGTTTGTGATGTGGGTGTCTGATTTCGAGTGTAATTTCCGATATTTTGCGTGCGTTAGCGAAACTGGACATACTACATGCATGGCAGGTTTTACGCCGCATTTGCCATTGTGGGGTTATCTTAAGATGTACGTTGTCTCCGAACAAATTCGGGCTGTTCGGCTTAAAAAGCATTTAAGGGTGTTTTTAACGCGGTTTAAAAAACTTCTGGTATGATTTCACTCCTACGTATCATTACAATAATGTGCTACAAAAAGGTGTGAGATTTGATTTACTTAAATCCTTTTGTACATCATTTTTGTTTCTGTTTTTTTGGAGTGCGTTGGTCTTCCTTGCATAGCCTTGTGATATGGGGCTCACTGAGGCAAAGGGGACTGCCCTACCGATCTGCGTTGTCTTCGTTTATTTGTTTCAAAAGGTACCGTGAATACTTCAATATGTTAGCCTCTAATCACGCAAGATGTCTTGTAGAACGTTTTGCAGACCGTCGATATCAATTTTGCTCAGATGGTTATGCAGTCCAAATGCGAAGCCTTTGACACAGGCACCCGTCGGGAATATTTCGTGCATAACAGGAGGCTAATGTATGCCCAGATGCATGGTAAATGGGTTCGGCAGCTGTGGGCCCTGCGAACAGAGGCGGGCTCGGCATCTGTGGGCCCAGCGAACAGAGGCGGGTTCGGTATCTGTGGGCCCAGTGAACAGAGGCGGGTTCAGCATCTGTGGGTCCGGCAAACGGAGGCGGGTTTGGCATCTGTGCACCCAGCGAACAGAGGCGGATGCGGCATTGCATCTTGGTGGGCCCAGCGAACAGGGACGAGTTCAGCATCTGTGGGCCCAGCGGACAGAGGCGGGCTCGGCTTTTTTGGGCCTGCGAACAGAGATGGGTTCGGCATCTGTGGGCTCAGCGAACAGAGGCGGGTTCGGCCTCTGGGCCGGCGAACAGAGGCGGGTTCGACATCTGTGGGCCCAGCGAACAGAGGCGGGTTTTGCACCTGTGGGCCCAACGAACAGAGGCGCTCAGCGCCGCTCGTCGCTCTGAGGACTCAGTGTCAAGGAGTCAATACCGGCATCGGCAGCTAGGCAGACCCCTCGGTTCAGCTCCATCAGTACACCGCTGCGTGTCAGATGCACCCTAACGCAGGAGTGTGTCAGCTCGCAGGCGGCTCCTCAGGCTGGCCAATCGGACCCGTGTTGACGCCGCTGACTCCGGCTTGTGCCGTTGCCAGCCGTCTGTGTGCGCAGCTGCACGTGGAGTATCGTGTCAGCACCTCACCGCGAGTCTGCGCGTGAATGCGGGCTCGTGACGGCGCCTACCCCCGGCCGGGCGAAGCCGCCCTTCTGGCACGCCAGGTGCTGCTGGCTGACTGACGGCCCAGGGCGGCAGCAGACCCCTGTCGTGGCAGGCGCCGCTGACGGTCCAGGGTAGAAGCAGACCCCTGTCGTAGCTGGCGCCGCTGACGGTCCAGGGTAGGAGCAGACCCCTGTCGTGGCAGGCGCCGCTGAGGTCTAGGGTAGGAGCAGTCCCCTGTTATGGCGGGCATCCCTGACGGCCCAGGGTAGGAGCAGACCCCTGTCGTGACAGGCGCCGCTGACAGTCTAGGGTAGGAGCAGACCCCTGTCGTGGCAGGCGTCGCTGATGGTCCAGGGTAGGAGCAGACCCCTGTTATGGCGGGCATCTCTGACGGCCCAGGGTAGGAGCAGACCCCTGTCGTGACAGGCGCCGCTGACGGTCTAGGGTAGGAGCAGTCCCCTGTCGTGGTGGGTATGTCTGATCGTCCAGGGTAGAAGCATACCTCTGTCGTAGCGGGCTCCGCTGACGGTCCAGGGCAGGAGCGGTCCCCTGTCGTAGCGGGCTCCGCTGACGGTCCAGGGCAGGAGCAGTCCCCTGTCGTAGCGGGCTCCGCTGACGGTCCAGGGCAAGAGCAGACCCCTGTCGTGGCGGGCGCCGCTGACGTCCCTCTCTCCGTTTCAGTGGACCTGCTCCAGATGCTGGAGGCCAACACGATCGCACACTTCCCGGCGGCCCCGCTTCTCACCGTCATTCTGGCGCTTGTCGGTGAGTCTGCGTCCCCCCCGCCGTGAGCGCGGCGGGCGGCCGCCGCTGTGGTGTAAGCCGAGGCCGTGTCTTAACAACGCCGATGTCTTCTCTTTCGATGGGTGTTTTCACTGTGAAAGCCATTTGGCGTTCATCGTCTTCTGCTTCAACAAAGGTCGTGCAGGTATCTATGTGTGCGTCTTCTAGCGCATTGATTTCCCCGCCTGGTCCCACTCCGTCCTCAGATTTAAGCTTCAAGCTGTCTTGGATCTTGTATTTAAAACAAGTTCAAATTGCTTCGGATTTGAGTTCTGTCGTATGCTTAACTCGTATTAATATTCTTAAGTCGTGTCAGAGTGCTGCCGAAGAGTGCTTGCCATCGGCATGCGACGTGTCGAATATCAAGGGAAAGTAAGCACGTGACTTAACACTGCTGTTTAGCTGCGTGTGCCTTTTTATACCTTCTTATTTGTAACGAGCTGTGATGGACATAACAGCCTCAAAAAGCTTCAAAGCCTGCGTAAAAGTCGTGCAGTAACATATAAATCTTTTCACTGTGTGGTGCTGTATCACGCGCCCAAAGTGGCCCTTCCCGCACACACGTTCAGTTTATTAAGACAAGCACTGTAATGCTAACGGGCTTAGGTATCTAATGCATTAGTGAGAATTGTAGAGAAGACACGTTCCAAGATGCTTACTGATCCGCCCTGCCTTTGTCGTACGCCGTGGTGCCGGTGACGCCGTGGAAAACCCGATGGATTTTCCGCCTGTTCGTTATTGCATTTGTTGAGAACCTTTACATTTTACGCATTGTTTGCGATTTCGGAGTTCACTTGCTGTAAAAGTTGGACGATCGCATTGCTAACGGAAACGGGCCAGACAGAGTTATTTTATTGGTAGGTTTTGTTAGTTTGTTTTTTTTCTGGAAGTTACCGGACTACGTGCCAGGTTGTCAATTCTTTGCCTCCTCTTCCGTGAACGAATGTTATTGTGTGCGAGATGGTGAATGTGGGGTCTGTGGGGGGGTTTTCAGTTATCCAACCACGCTTGATATGTACCTTGGTATAGTCCAGGAGTGGTCTAATTGTTACACTGAATTAGAAACTTGTATTAAGACGATCCGCACTCGCCTTGCGGCTATCACATTCTCCGCCGTAAGATAAAAGGTGAAGAAACCATAGTAATTATAAAACATCCCCTCAGTCACTGTAGCATGCCTCATAATCATCTAAGATCCGGGATGGGTGAAGCAGTTGGTTGCGCCACATCAGGCACATGTGGAGATGCCACATCGGGCGCAGGCGCAGACGCCACACCAGGCGCGTGCGTAGGCGCCACATCAGGCAGGTGCCGCTTCAACTATCGGCTCAGCGGCGGCGCTGGAGGCCGCTGCAACTGTGGCGCCGGCGCTGGAGGCCGCAGCACCTCTGGCGCCGGCGTTGGAGGGCGCAGCAACTCTGGCGCCGGCGCTGGAGGCTGCAGGAACTCTGGCGCCGGCGCTGGAGGCCGCAGCAACTCTGGCGCCGGCGCTGGAGGCCGCAGCAACTCTGGCGCCGACGCTGGAGGCCGCTGCACCTCCGGCGCCGGCGAGCTGGACAGTGCTCGTGGTGTGGCACCCTGAGTACAGTTAATCAGATGTATGCAGCTATTTTAAGACAGAAGAGGCCATCACAAGGCCACTTGTTTTACCAGATTTACACGTCGGTCGATTTTCGCAAAACGTAGCGTGCGCTGTATGTGCTAGTGAAGTCATAGCGGTCTTGGGGAACCCATCGTTTTCACGTGTCTATCTTTCTGTCCGGTGGGACAGCGCGCGCGCGGCCGAGCCTGCGACCGCCCAGCTTTGGTACGCGGTGCGCGTCACACGATGTAGACCCGGCGCTCGTCTCGTCGCCGACCTCAGCGGTGGGCGGCTTCAGCCGTGCGGGCGGGCTGCGCGGCCCTGCTGGCCCCCGCCGGTGGCCGCGGCGGGCGCCGCCGGGCGCCGGTGTCGCCGGCCGGGGCGGACGGCGCCAGGTGCCGCCGCAGGCCGGCCGCGGCCACACCTGTGCGGCCGGCCTGCGCCGCCGCTCCCGCCCTATCTGCCAGCCTATTGATCGGTTGTATCTGTGTGTTGTCTGGTGCTGCCGGCTGGACGCCAGGACGTTCGCCGGCCGCGGGGGGGGGGGGGGGAAGGGCTCCCGTGCACTCACAGCACGCGGGCGGCGTCCCCCGCCCGGGCAGAGACGACGGCGCGTCGCGTGTCGGCCGGTGGCAGCGGTGGCAGCTCCTGTCGGTCGGCCGACGTGCCATTGACCCCGTGCCTCCCCCGTTACATTTAGCTAGCTGGCCGTGGCCGCCCGACGCCGCATTGAGGTGCCTGTCGGCCGGCGACCTTCACTTGAGCGGGCTCACGGGCGGCCAGTGTGGCTTGGCGCAGACAGGCCACACTGCCACTGCAGGCCATCCGCCCAGCGCCACACAGCCGGCCAGTGTGGCCCGGCGCTGACACCCGCCCAGTGCCACACAGCCGGCCAGTGTGGCCCGGCGCTGACACCCGCCCAGTGCCACACAGCCGGCCTGTGTGGCCTGGCGCGGACACCCGCCCAGTGCCACACAGCCGGCCAGTGTGGCCCGGCACTGACACCCGCCCAGTGCCACACAGCCGGCCAGTGTGGCCCGGCGCTGACACCCGCCCAGCCTCACACAGCCGGCTGGCCGGGCGCGATAGATGGCTTACTGGTCAATATATCTCACTGCGTGGCCCCCTGAGCCATTTAATCCTGACTGGCTGGCGCTAAGCATGGTGTGTCAGCAGTCACTGATCACGGCTGGTGGCGTATTTTGTCATGACTTTGGGGTACCAAACCATCGATATCAAATATATGTCGTAATGAAAAAACTGACAGTCCGTGCCGCGCAGTTGCAGCTCTATCACTGGCGGCTGCAGCTTGATAGCAGTATATTTCAGGACTTACGAAAATATTTTTTTACGCTCCATAGCTTCGTTTGCTTATTGTTGACAAATGCGGTAAACTGTTCTTTGTAAACCGAATTGTTTAAGGTTTGAGGCGCAGGGTTCATCTGAATGGTTTCGATTGCACCAACACATCGGTTATCTTGGAATGGAATTCTACCTTTGCGCTCTCCTGTTTCGGTGGTTTAGCCAACCGTCGAAGTCGGGGCACGAGGTTAGTTTGAACGCCGCCGCCGATTCCACACCAAATCCCCTGGAGCTTAATTCAAACTGGACAGGTGCCTGGTTATATATAGGCACCACTAAGTTAAGCGTTTGAAATTCCAAAAGTTTTTGTGTTAACAGAGCGCAAATTTTCTTTAGTGAGTACAAAATTATCCGAGTACTGTATGCCATTGCATTTTGTTTAGGTTTGATTAGAGAGATAATAGTACAGTGGATGGTACACAACAAATTCGCCACTTTTCATATGCAGCAATTGATGTAAAAGCACTTTCATTGAAAGGAAACATCAATATTAAACATGACACACTGCAACAACATGGTCTCAGACTCTGTTTTATGAGGCACAGGTGCATGCAGATGGGTTTGCAGTTTATGAAAGGCTGTGCGTATGCACACTCCAAAACGGCGGGTGGCTACGCACCGGGCTTATACACCTTTCAGAATGGAGGGTGGACTTAACCTGCCGTCAACGGCAGGTTAAGTCATGTTCAAGTTTGAGTAGGTCTGCGTAGGGCGTAGGAAGTGAGAGCTTTGCTAATCTAGAGCTTTGCTCATAACGGTTTCATCGTCTGTTATTTTCCTATGAGATTGCACACGCTATTCATTCATATTTCACTTGTATGCAAAAAAGCGGAGCAGGCTCAGGATGAACGATGAGCAGCGAGCCAGTTAAAGGGAGTGCGCCACACATGTATAGGGTTTTGAACTAAGATAGCGATGTTAAAGACAATTCACTGCAGGTCACAGCCCTGTCCTTTTGAAGACTTAAAACACTGGTTTCTGAGCTGGTTCTGACGCCCGCAAACGCGTACAGACCATTTCAAGGTCACCCAGGCATACACAACGCCACGTAAACATCACGGAAATGCTGCCACCTTGTTGGTCATGTGGTGCTCAAAGCCAATTTAAACAGAATCAACGAGTTATGCATGTGACGTACGTCAGCACGATTTTTGGTATCAATGGCCTTCAATTGACTCAACCTGCGTAATGCATTCAGTGCAAGTTTCGAACATGTATCACGTTTGTACTGCATCATACAGGAAATTGGACGGTGGTACTAGTTATGACGGAAATAAGAATGGAAATGAAATAGCTTAAGAATGGCGCCATACCGAGCATGTGAGTGCAAGTAAAACCAAATAATTTAACGGACAAACATGCAAGAATACACGAGAAAAGACTAAAACACTCGCACGTAACGATGTTCGGATTCCGCAAACAACGCATCGATTAATACGATACCTCTCGGCAAGTTGAGGCGTTGCACGCGATTCAGCTAAGGTGACAATTTCGCCTGGATGGTTTGGCAGCCACCCACCTACGCCACCCATTCGCAATCGCAATCAAACGCAATCGACGCAATCAAACGACTTATGGAGGAGCGTATGTACGAAATGGTGAATCGTGTTGTTTAGAGCACTCTTTTGCACTTAAAACATACGAAGAGTTACAAACGAGCTCATTCAATCGTATTTGATGCTCGTCTCCCCTTCGAATTATGGACAGCTGCAGCGGGTGTGATGTCCCGAGTGATTAGCGTCCTCGGCTTCCACTCCCGCTTACTAAAATGGTGTGCGACGACGTGAGTTGTTTTGCTGTTCTTTATATCACCGACAGCTGTATTGTTCATTCTTCTCCTTTGTCACCTTGGAACACGCCGTTATCCGCTCGCCGGCCACCTCACGGCCGTCCGCTCACCTGCACTACGCATGTAAGCGGCGGGAGACCCATCCATCGCTACCAAACCGCTCCGGAGCGGCACCAGCGCTCACGTGAAGTCTGAAACGACGATCCGCCGTTTGCGGTGATTTTCAGGGAGATAAGCCTCATCATCTGCCGCCAGGGCTTCCTTACCGCCAGGACGTGATCAGGCTGCTCGCTAATACGAGATAGCCGGGGTCGGTCCACCTCAGTGGTTTGGACGGATCGCAAATGTCGCCCAGGTCGCGGTTGGCGGCGTTGGTGGAACTCGCCCGGCTTGTCGAATAAATTTTCTGTGTACTTTGTCTAAGCGTTCTATATTACAGAAGTGTAAGAGCACGATTGTTCGTCTTGTGTCGGGTGTTAAGCCTTGCGATGAGTATTGCCGGTGCCAGAGTATTTTGAAGTCGCTCAAAGATAAGTCGTTCGCATTGACTGTTGTGCTTATTGTGCGTGACCTGTGACGCCGCAACTGCGTGACGGATGTCAGCTCTGTGTTTTCTGGATGAGATTGATGGAGAATGTCGTCGTTTAAATTCTGCGATCCGACTGCTAGATCCTGAGAATCAGGTTGGGGACCCCCTCTCTCCCCCCCCCCCCCCCCCAGGCGGTGACGCGTGTTGAGATACCACAGGCGACGTCGCTTTAACAGCTAACGAGCTGTCGGTAGCTCCCGCGGTGATCACCTCCCACCGATTGTCAACCTCGGCCCTCAAACGCCCTTCTTTTTCCACTTGTTTTCCCGACGGCTTGCTCTGTGATGCACAGTCACGGAGAGGTCACCGGCTGGCGAGGGTCCGTTCAAGAGTTATCTTGGCAACACAGCCTATCATTAGGCGCCATATGACCAACGTAGTCGGTGCGCCCCAAAGCCCAAATCATCATCATCATCACAGCCTATCACGGGGACGCGTGGTCAGCTACGCTGAGTTTTTATCCGCGCCAGCCCCCTGTGCGATCACACCTAGTGGTGGTCATGGCTGATCAACGGAGGCAGCTGGCCTCCTCTGCGTGTACAAGTGGTCGAAACTGTGTGATCATTGTGTTGCAACCGGGGTGATTTGTGCCGGGATCCTTATATTGTCATATAGGTTTTATGTACAGGTGGTGCTTAAACTTATGTGGAGTGCTGAAAGCACATTAGGAACACACATGGGGTACCCGGGTTCCAATCCTGGCAGAACCGTGGTTCATGAGCTCTAATGTGACCTGTGCAGCCACTGGAACTCCAGAGAGGGATCCCCGACGGCGTGTGTAGCGCTTTTTTTAAGAAACAAAACTTTTCCTGGTATGTTAACACGCGTCCGGGTAGCCGACTAGGTACCCCTCCCTTGGGTGGGGCGGGGGCTCAATTTGACCCCCTGAGACCTTGGAAACTAAGAGAGCTAGAGACACAAAGTATACTGGGTGTGTTGACCTGTACGTGAATTCGCTTAGGTTAAAGTTTTAGGTTCCTAGGTGATGACCTTCGGGTTAAGTGTCAAACAAGGGCAACTTCCAGTTTGGTCTCCAAAGTGCCCCCAGAACCGAGCTAACTGTTTCTAAGCATAAGGTGACATGCTCAGTTAAGGCCAATGACCTTGTTTGACCTTTTTAAGGTCATGGTAACCAAAAGTTAACAAGACTCTTAGTTTTGCATTTGAATAAGCGACACAGATTACGCTGCGGAGCATGTGTCTAAAAGCAAAATGGTGACGTGGGTCATTTTAGGTCAATTACCTATACTAACCTCCAAGAAGTCCATGTAAGATGTATAATGCGGTTCCTGCTGTCAATAAATTCGAAATGAGCGCCAGAAACTGCCTCATACAACAAGCCCTAGAGTAACAAAACAGGTTGGTTCTGGCCTCGATCTGACCTTCATACCTGACCATAGGTCAACGTAATTTGCTCATTCAACACTTGTGTTACCTAAGAAAGCATCTCAGCGATGTATGACTTCGTCTAACACTCCATTACTGCATCAGATTGAACAATACCCTAGAAATTGACTTCGCTGAAACCAAGGCCTGACTTTGATCTTCCATAGGTCAACGACCTTACAAGGTACATCTAAATTTTTATACCAAACGATCCGCTATTCAGTTGTCTACAGATGTGCAAAATTTAGCGCGGCTGCGCCGCACCATTCGGAAATCATTCTGGAAAAACCTTCGGGTGGCCAAGGTGCCCCGCACCCCACCCGAGCGCGTGTTAACGATGGGTGCAAAATGACCATTTCAGTGGATGCGCCCTAAAACACCCATGCATAGCAGATGGCTTATTTACGAAATATGGTTGCTCTGTTTACTAGTCTCGGGAGCTTTTTCACGAGAACTCGTGGGACTGAATTTTCAAGAATCCAACAGGCTGTCCTATCAGTGAACCATCCCAGCAGGCTCGGCTTCAGCAGTGAGCGTCTTGTGTGATGTGATGTGCAGGCGAGAGGCCGAACAAGGACCGAGTGAGAAGGAGGAGGGTGACCTGGAGGCACCATGCGGGCCCGGAGACGCGGACGGCGCGTGGCGCCAGTCTCCGGACACCGCGAGTCGGAGCGGGCGGCGGCCCCACCCCGGTCCGAAGTGCACCGGAAGCCGGCCGGTGGCGCCGCGCCGCCCGGCACCGGCCCGTAAGCCGCTTGGAGGCCACTAAGAGGATCAGAGGCGGCTCTGAAGCCCGGCCGGCGGGCCTCGGCCGCTCTCCCCCGGGTCAGGCTCAACACGGGCAGCGCCGCCCGGCGAGCCGGCACCGACAGCGGCCGGCATCTGGTGCCGACTGTCAGCGGGCCGAGCGCCGAGCGGCCGTGTTCCGAGGCAGTGTGAAGTCCGCCTTCGGTCGGCTGAAAAACGCGGCGGCGTTTGTCTCTGAAGCTGGGAGTGCGACTGTATGAGCTCAATGCTATGGCCCTAATTGGGTCTCACTGCCAGGTATTCTTGCTAGTTACGTAACGCTGACAATGGGCCGACGCGACACCAGTTTCGCCGCTTGGAGACATCCGTCCAGTCGTTCAATGGAGCCTAACGGCCTTCTCCCTGCGGCAGGCATGGAGGCGGTGATGTCCGAGTTCTTCAACGACTCGACGACGGCCTTTTACGTGATCCTGATCGTGTGGCTGGTGGATCAGTACGACGCCGTCTGCTGCCACACAGCCATCAGCCGCAAGCACTTTCTGCGGTGAGTCCGGCTGTGGAAGGGGGAGGTCGGTGACCGTGTCTGTCCCCAGGAGTTGGGCTGCTGCCCGGGCGAGGTGCTGCGCCATGCTGTCCGTGCTGCGACGACACGGAGTCTTTCCTACCTGACCCCTCCAAGGTGACTTACCTGTCCTGCCCCGCGGCGCCCCCCGGGAGGGGACACGCTTGTCCAATCCAGCGTGGCCCCTCAGAGGTGACACACCTGTACCGCCCTGCCCGGCTTCCCTGAAGGGGTATGCCTGTTCCACTCGGTCATGTTCCTCTGACGTTACGCTTCTGTACCGTCCGCCCCGGTGTCTCTTGGCTGACACACTGGTGCTGCCCAGCTAGGAGTGGCATCTGCCCCACACAACCAGGTTCCCCTGAGGTGACCCATCCGCACCAACCGGTCTTTTCTCTGTGGTGACAACTGTCCCGTCTAGCTGGGCTCCTCTGGTGACAACTGTCCCGTCCAGCTGGGCTCCTCTGGGGTTATGCACCTTTCCGTCCAGTAGGTCTCCTCTGGGATTACGCACCTATCCTGCCCAGCGTGGCTCCTCCGCTGATATCCCTTTCCCGTCCAGCGGGGCTTCTCTGGAGTGACACGTCTTTCGCGTCCAGTGTGGCTCCTCCGGTAACATCCCTTCCCATTCAGTAGGGCTCCACTGATGACGCACCTTTCCTATCCAGTAGTATTCCTCTGGAGTGACACGTCTTTCCTGTCCAGCGGGGTTTCTCTGTGGTGACACACCTTTCCCGTCTAGCGGGGCTCCTCTGTGGTGACACACCTTTCCCGTCCAGCGGGGCTCCTCTGGAGTGACACGTCTTTGGCGTCCAGTGTGGCTCCTCCAGTGACATCCCTTCCCATTCAGTAGGGCTCAACTGATGACGCACCTTTCCCGTCCAGTAGGGCTCCTCTGTGATGACACACCTTTCCCGTCTAGCGGAGCGCCTGAGGGGTGACACACCTGTCGCGGCCGGCGGGCCGCGGCGGGAGGCGCCGTGGACGGCCGCCGCCACGCTCGGGTGTCGTGTCTGGGGCCTCGCGCCGCCGTCGCCGCGGCGCTCACGTGGGAACAGCGTTCGGCGGGCCATTCCATTAGTGGGCTCACGGGCGTGCGGTCCTCAGGTACGGTGCAAATTCAATCAGATGAATTCGAAAGCTCTCGCATTTTGGGCGGCCGTGCTCGTGTGGTCGCTGCATGGCCGTGAGGGAGGGGGGGGGGGCAGGGGCGGGGAGAGGTGGCACTGTTTGGCGATGTTGGAGCGCCGTCGGTGCGGTCGTTCGGCGGGTTTTCTTGCTCGCCCGTTGTGGCTCGTCGGTGGTATTTAGCTGCTGTCGGCTGAACTCACTAGGCTTCGTGGCGCACGTTCCGTGCGGAGGTCTGTTGGTTTTGTTGTGCATTCTTTGGCATCTTATGATGCACGTCAGTGGGGGGGAGATTCATTCCTGTGTGCTGGTGCACGTTACGTTGTGTTTTGTGGATATGAATAAAAAATGTCTCACAAAAAGCGCTCATGTTGCGTATCGGTGAAAATGTTTGAAAATGTCATACCAATACGAGCCTCGAAACGAGGAAACCGTTAGGAACTGAACGTGGATGTGCGGCGCCCAAACCAGCGTGACACCCCTGCCGTCCGCCCAAACCACCTGCCCTCGGGGTCTGCTATCCGACTGAAAATCGATGGCGCCGTGCTACTGGGGAGCTGCTGCGACTCAAGCTCACCGCCGAGGAGCTGCCGCGGCTCGAGCTGACGGCTGAGGAGCTGCCGCGGCTCGAGCTCACCGCTGAGGAGCTGCCGCGGCTCAAGCTCACGGCTGAGGAGCTGCCGCAGCTCGAGCTCGCCGCTGAGGAGCTGCCGCGGCTCTAGCTCACAACTGAGGAGCTGCCGCGGCCGAGTTCACGGCTGAGAAGCTGCCACGGCTCGAGCTCACCGCTGAAGAGCTGCTGCGGCTCAAGCTCACGGCTGAGGAGCTGCCGCGGCTCGAGCTCACCACTGAGAAGATGCCGCGGCTCCAGCTCACGGCGGAGGAGCTGCCGCGGCTCGAGCTCGCTGGGCGTGATTTTCTTGGCCGCCGCTCGGCGCCGAGTGTGGCTCGATGAAGCGTCTCATTTCCCAACGGGCGGCGACAAGTGGACTGCGAACGGAAAACAGTGTACTGCCGCGAATAAAATAGCGACGTTTGAATCAATCACTTCTGCAGACCGATTTGTACCTGCGCATTTTGCGATGTAAGGAAAGCTGGAGGGATTCGGTCACTCCCAAAACCTGGTCAGTTGTTTTATTAAAAGCGAGATGATACACAGGTAACTGGCTGTACATGATTAGAATAGAGAGGGAATGATTTTCAAGGAATCTCTTTCAGACGCGTTGGAAGTTCGATAGACGGGGAATGTAAAAATTAAAAGTCCACTCGTGATTTATTCTTTACTGTTTCAACCTGCGTCTTAAGAGTGGGGTTAGTTTCGAACGTAACGAGCGGTCAACGAACCAAACAATAAATATATGCTTTCTCTCCGATATCACCGTGTAATTTGACTTTGTTTCACAGCAGGTCATTGCGCTCTGACAAATTAAGGACAAATATGTTGACGTATAGTTAGCCAGATGACATTGTTAGGTCGACGCAGTCAGCAGGTGATGGAAGAGAGATTCAGTAACGCATCAGCCTATTCAGCGTCAGCCATCCGCTAATCCCCAGTTGCGTGGGGGGCACTGATGGGACCCTACCATACATCGCGGAGTGGGCTGGTTACTTTCGAGGGGCGTCGCCCTGGGGCGTGCTGGGAGCTGGCTGACGGTCACACGTCCGGGTTTCCGGCAGCCTTCCCCGCCCCACCTGAGCCGGCACGGGCCATGTGCCCTCCGGGCAGCGAAGCCAGGCGGCGCGGCCAGTGCGGGTGACCTCCCTGCGGCGTCGGTGCTGCCGGCCGAACTAACGGCGTCGGCTCTGACTCCCGGCCCTAACTCCCGGCCCTAACTCCCGGCCCTGACTCCAGACCCTGGCTCGCGGCCCTGACTCCTGGCCCTGACTCCTGGCTCTGACTCCCGGCCCTGACTCCTGGCCCTGACTCCCGGCTCTAACTCCCGGCCCTAACTCCTGGCCGTGACTCCTGGCCCTGACTCCCGGTCCGACGCCTGGGATGACCCGATACTGGCGGGGTTGTCTGACTTGGCGCTATCCCCCGGAGACGGCTGCCACCCAAACCACATCACGTGGCCGCACCTTGTCGTGCCCAGTGTGACCCAACCCTTGACTGCCTGACCTGGCCATGCCGACCGACCGCACCGGTCTGGAGCTGCGTGGCCCGCCCCCGGCCGACCCAGCGGCGACAGCACATGCCGCGGCGGGGGCGGGCCGGCACGGGCCGCGCCGCTGGCGCGCCATTGTCACCGAGCCGGTCGGCGCGGCCGCCGCCGCCGCCGCCGCCGTCGCCGCCGCCGCTAATCCAATCGGCGCCTAATTGCGGCCGCCCGGCGGCCGGCGGCCTGCGGCCGGTGCTGCCTCACCCGGGGAGCGGCGCATATTAATAAGCCGGTTGTCCAGTAAGTGTCGGCGGGCACGGGCGGTCTGCGGCGGCGGGCGCCGGCCGGGCCGCCTCCCCGGGGAAATCAGCGGTGCCGTCGGCGACGATACGGCCGGCGCGCCGCCTGCCTCCCTCACCCCCACTGTCGCCACCGGGTTCTTCCTTCCCTCACCCTCTGCTACCGTCGCCAGGTTCTTCTTTTTGTACCACTACTGCTTCTACGCCTACCACTACCGCTTCAACGGCCAGTACAGCAGCCTGGCGCTCGTCACTTCATGGCTCTTCATACAGGTGAGAGTGGACGGGGGACAAGCGGTACGTACCGGGCCTCTGCATGTAAGGCTGTGGGGTCCGGACCGGCCGCCACCGAGTCGCGCCCTGCGTTGGTCAGACCTTCACGACGTCCTTGCCTTACTTTCCACTCAGCAGCCGGCTGGGTTGGCCGCAAGTCGGGCAGTATTTCCGATCGCCGATATCACCTGCAGCGGATGTGGCCCATTGGCGGCGGACCCGTTCCTGTGTGAGCGCCGCCGAGCCGCTGCGTCTCCGCGGAGGGCCCGTCGACGGCCGGGGCGCGCGGTGCGGCGCCGCCGGGCGGCTCTAGCGTCCGCTGACGTGACGGTCGGCCGTTGCGGCGGCCGCGGCGATCACCTGTGTCGTCGTGAACCAACTGGGGTGGAAGCGGGCTTAATGGCGCGGCACGCAATCGGCGATTCATTTGCAGCGGCCGCCGGCATATTGGCCCCACTCGTCGCAGCGGTGGGGCAGGGGAGGGGAGCGGAGCCCCACCGGGCGCGCGCGGGACCGCTGGGAGCCGTGTAGCCCCACTCCTCGCGGCGGTGGGGCAGGGGAGGGGAGTGGAGCCCAACTGGGCGCGCGCGGGGCCGCTGGGGGCCGTGTAGCCCCACTCCTCGCGGCGGTGGGGCAGGGGAGGGGAGTGGAGCCCAACCGGGCGCGCGCGGGACCGCCGGAGGCCGTGAAGCCCCACTCCTCCCGGCGGTGGGCGGGGGAGAGGTCCCGCGCGGCCCGTTGGGCGCGCGCGGGACCGCCGGGGGCCGTGTAGCCCCACTCGTCGCAGCAGTGGGCAGGGAAAGAGAGTCCCGCTGGGCGCGCGCGGGACCGCTGGGGCCATGTTGGCCCCACTACCCCCGGCGGTGGGCAGGGGAGGGGAGCCCCCAGGGCGCGCGCGGGACCGCTGGGATTGGCCCTGTCGGGACGTGGTGGCCACTCTGTGAAACAGAAAGGTACGGCGGTTTTTATGGGGGGGGGGGGGGGGGAGCGACTGATGACTGCGTGTGATGTTTAATGGCGTGGCTGGTCGAGGGAAGATTATTCAAGTACTAAATTGGCAGTCCGGTAATTACGCTTGGAGATTCCTCATTTGTGTTCGGCAAATCTGGGAAATGTCGCTCAGTTTCGTCTCGCATTTGCCACGTATCGTCAACGGTTATAGCGAGGCATGGCGACAAAACAGCCGTCTGAATCACGCTCTAAAAGTGATCTGGGATTCTTCCTTGGCTCGTGGGATGATCTGCGATAATCATCCATGTCGGCGGTTCCGAACGCCATTCCGCAGAACTTTCCAACGTGCCGGATAATTCTCCGAGAGAATCGACCGGCCGAACGCACCCCCAGCGTCTGCCGCGGAGAGACTGGACGGCGTGCGCCGAGTGGTAGAACACAACTGTCGGGCTGCGTTCTCGCCTTGGGAATAGCAGCCTTCTCTGTGAACAGGAGAGTGTTTCAGTTGTCCCGGATAACCACTGTCCTGCTGTCCCGATACAGTCTTTACTGGCCTGCTCTGCGGACATAGCTCGCGCTCAGACCGTGACGGGTCCACTGCCGGCGGCCAGTGCCGACCGCGCGTCTCGGAGACGTCCGCCTGTCCGCGCGTCTCGGAGACGCCCGCCTGCCCGCGCGTCTCGGAGACGCCCGCCTGCCCGCGGTGCCACCTGCAGCGGGGTCGCCTCGCGCTCCGCCAACGGCACAGTCCCAAACGGCCCCGGCCGCAAATTGCATACCGACCGTAACTCATTTATGTAGTTTGTGTTTGGACGTGAGCTGTCGGCGGTCGGCGGCCGCTGACGGACCCGGCCGCGCTCCTGCCGCCGCCGCCGCCACCGCGCGCGGACGCTCACCTCCGCCGGCGCTCGGCGCCCGGCCCCGATCGGGTATTCACATCGGCCGACCGTACATCAGATTAACGCCGGCGATATGGTGCCATTGCGACGGCGCGGAGCCGGCCGGCGCCGGTGACGACGCTCGGGATGGACGGCCGCCCGCCACCGGCCGCGCTTCGCAGCCCCAGTCTGCGCGGCCACGCACTTCCGGGTCGCACTGTCGGGGCCTCCCAAGGAGGGGGGGGGGGGGGGGCAGGGGAAGCACCAGTTGTGCTTGTCGTCTTAGTTTGTGTCCGATTTATGAGGAGGCAAGTTGGCAAATCAGGTTTATGGTGCGCGTACTCGTACGCCACGATTGAGATGTACGTGGATGGGCAGTGTTGTGTGTGTAGCTAGGCCTGCCCCGGTGTCCAGGCCCCGGTGGTGCCGTCTCCGCCCCGGTGTCCAGGCCCCGGTGTCCAGACCCCGGCTTCGGACTCCGGTGTCCAGAACCCGGTGGTGTCGTCTCCGCCCCGGTGTCCAGGCCTCGGTGTCCAGACCCCGGCTCCGGACTCCGGTGTCCAGAACCCGGTGGTGTCGTCTCCGCCCCGGTGTCCAGGCCCCGGCGTCCAGACCCCGGCTCCGGACTCCGGTGTCCAGAACCCGGTGGTGTCGTCTCCGCCCCGGTGTCCAGGCCCCGTTGGTGCACGTGTGCATGGTCAGACTGACGGTGCTCTGTTGGAGCGGCATGTGTTGGACAGGAGATCAGGTGATGAGCTGGCGACGAACACAGGCCTGGCGCTGTGTGACGCACGAGGCTCCGGTGGAAGGCGCGTGGCACACGGGGATCTGAGGATGTAAGCACGGTCACAGATATGGTGCAACAACGATTTGTGGGTGGTTTGACCCGGAACTAATAAGACGAATATGAAAGGTGAGGAAGTGGTGGGCAGCGTTGTGACTGACGAGAAAGACTTCCCAAAAACCGACCTGACGAGAAGTCATATTGGCATGTAACTTCAATTAGAATATAGATGTTGAACGTGGGGGGGGGGGGGGGGCATGGTATGCTAGGGCTAGCGCATAATGTGGGAAGCTGATGTTACCGAGTTTATAGAATACATGGCGAAGTACTAAGATCTGACAAACGAAAATGTCCGTCCATGGGAGGCGTGCCAGCGGTTCCTTCTGCTGGAGACTGGACCTGCATCGGCTGGCAACTGGTGTCCAGCGGAACTACCGTCGGACACGGCGCCGGGGGGTTCCGGTTCTGTTTCGTGACGAGTGGGCGGCGGCTCCGCCACCGGTGGCCACCACAGCCGGGAACCCCACCCAGCTCCCAGCGTCCGACGCCGAAAACGCGGGCGACCGGCGGCGCAGGCGGGCATTAAACGCGCCCGCTCCTCCGGAAGAGAATTTCATTACGGGTGCGGCCGGGCCGCAGCCGGCTGGGGCGGCCAACTTTCGGCTGCACCTGAACATTAATTGCCGACTGGAAGGCCGGCGGCGGTGTGTCGGCGTCGGCGGGTGGCGCCGACACGGCGAGTAATGGCCGCACCGCCGCTAATGCTGCCAGGATGTCGTTTGTCTTGACTCATTACGTCCTGCCGGCGGCCGGCGGTGGCGGGGCGCGTCCCTGTCGGCCCCGTCGACCGCCCTGCGTTGTGTCTGTCGCCCCCCTCCCCCGGCGCGCGGCGCCGGCCGCCGGAGCAGGCTGCCTGGCCAGGAGCGGCGCGCCGCGCCGCGGTCGGCCCTACTCGCCAACGCGGCTCGCCGGTTTAAAATAACAAATTGAACTGCGCTGGCAGTGACAGAGCCTATTTGCTTGACGGTGCGGGAGGGCGGCGCCGGCGTCGCTCCGGGCCTCTCTCCGGGCCGGCGGCGCTGCGCTCTGCAGCCGGCCGGCCGGCCGGCCCGCCCGGGTCCGTCTGTCGCGCGCGACAGTGGACACCGCTCACAGAGGCGCGCGGCCGAGACACTGCCGATCGTCTGTCGCCGCTCCCGCCGCCGCCGCGGTCCGGCCCGGCGCACGCCCACACCGCCCCGGCTATCTGCCGCCTCGCTGGCGTGGGAAGCAGCGCGACTGGCCCCTGTGTGATACTTTCAGAGGCGCTTGTGTGTGGTCGGTGCGCACTTCCGGGCCTGCAGATGTGTGCGTATGTGTACGCGTTTCATGAGATTGCTCGCGCTGATGTCAGTGCGTCGTTAAACATTAAAAATGAATTGATCAGTGTAGGTAGAGTTCGGCGGCGTTGCCATTTCACCGACGCGATGTAATCGGACCCGTTTTGCGGCTCGTTTCTCACAGTCAATAGAATCTTTCGGCCACTAGCACCAAGCACAAAACCAGTGGGGCGCTACGTGCTGTCCATTGTTGAAAATGCATCGTGATTTCTTCTTGGTAGCACCCGAATTGTATGGCTATTGTCGCTCAATGTGGATGAAATTGCGTGCCTGCTCTGGGCGGTGGCCCGCGACTGGGCAGCAGCAGAATCATCCGGTGGTTTGTGTTTTGCAGATCCACTGAAATATCCACGCTCCATTACGCTGTCAGTGCCTATTGCGGGGCCGGAGATCGCCGAACGGAATCAGGCGCAATCGTATCATCGAAATCGAATCAACCTGCCAGTCCGGCGAGGAATATTAAGGACGGGATGCGAGCCTGCGATGCCGCGACGCTCCCCCCGCACTCGGCGACGGTGGCCGCGCTTTTATGGCGCGCCGCTTGTTTGTTCTGACATGTCGGGGAGTCGTTTTTTCCGTCGCGCCGCCGACAGTCTGACGGAAGTCCCTTCTGAATCCGGTCTCTATGAATGCCGGCGTGGGGCGCACCGGTTTTTGTTGGCCGCGCCGCCTTTTCACAGCACAATGCGGTGCCGGAGCCGGCCTGTACCGGCCAGTAATTCAGAGAGCGACGGGGCCGGCCGACCGCTCGGCTGGTGTCAGCTGCGCCGGGGACCGCGGCCGGGGCCAGATCGTCCCATCTCTGGCCCGCCGGGGACCGCGGCGGGGCCAGATGGTCCCTTCTCTGGCCCGCCGGGGATCGCGGCGAGGCCAGATGGCCCCCTTGTCTGGCCCGCCGGGGACCGCGGCGGGGCCAGATCGTCCCTTCTCTGGCCCGCCGAGGACCGCGGCGGGGCCAGATGGCCCCCCTTGTCTGGCCCGCCGGGGACCGCGGCGGGGGCCAGATCGTCCCCTTGTCTGGCCCGCCTGGGACCGCGGCGGCGGTCAGATCGTCCCTTCTCTGGCCCGCCGGAGATCTCGGCCGGGGCCAGATCGTCCCTTCTCGGGCCCACCGGGGACCGCGGCGGGGCCAGATCGTCCCTTCTCGGGCCCGCCGGGGACCGCGGCGGAGCCAGATCGTCCCTTCTCTGGCCCGCCGGGTACCGCGGCGGGGCCAGGTCGTCCCTTCTCTGGCCCGCCGGGGACCGCGGCGGGGCCAGATCGTCCCTTCTCGGGCCCACCGGGGACTGCGGCGAGGCCAGATGGCCTCCTTGTCTGGCCCGCCTGGGACCGCGGCGAGGCCAGATGGCCTCCTTGTCTGGCCCGCCTGGGACCGCGGCGAGGCCAGATGGCCTCCTTGCCTGGCCCGCCTGGGACCGCGGCGGGGGCCAGATCGTCCCTTCTCTGGCTCGCCGGGGACCGCGGCCGGGACCAAATTGCGCACTCTCTGGCCCGTCATCCGTCAGTTGGTATGAGTGCTGATGTTTCTGGGATGAGCGCTCGTTTAGAAACCGCGAAACACAAGCGTCCACCTAGCAAACAAATACGACGTCTTAGAACACTGGCGTTGGTTACCGTGTATGCAGCCTAGGCGCTAGATGTTTTTTGTGGGATGGGTGTACTAGACCGGATCTTTGGCAGCCGACAGCGTAGATCTATTATTGACCTGGACAGATAACGGCATTGGAAAAACGAAGTATTGCAGTCGAAAGTGACCATTTCATCCTACATGAACTTGGCGAGAGTCTCACGGTCAGACTCAGGGTGTCTGTCCCGCTTGGTGTTTTGTGGTGGCTCGCTGCCTCTTCCCTCTAGCCCAACCCCACCCTCCGCTTGAAGATAGCTTACGTCTCCAAATGTGTTTGTCTCTGTTCTCTGTGTTAGGCTTTCGTCATCTTCGTGTCGTCTTTTTTGCCGCTCAGTTCGGTCATTTCCCGACCCTCGCACAAGGTTTAAAAGTCACAGGAAATAAAACTATAAGGCAACGGAAAAGAAACATGATGTGACTGCCACACGTTTGGCTTAGAGGGGTATCGGCCATGGCTTTTGGTCTCTCTCTGATGGGTATCGGCCGTGACTTCTGACATCTCTCCGAGAGGTATCGGCCACGGCTTTTGGTCTCTCTGATGGGTATCGGCCGTGGCTTCTGGCATCTCTCCGAGAGGTATCGGCCATGGCTTTTGGTCTCTCTCTGATGGGTATCGGCCGTGGCTTCTGACATCTCTCCGAGAGGTATCGGCCACTGCTTTTGGTATCTGTCGGAGGGGTATTGTCCCTGGCTTCTGGCATCTCCGCAGAGATATCTCGGAGACTCACGGCCGCCTGCCGTGAGCGGCGCGTTGCCGGTGTGGGTATCTTAGGCCACTCTGCCGCTCTGCCGCTCTGCCGCTCGGCCGTGAGGACGCCCTGCCGATGAGGGTGGGACGTCGATCGAGACGGCCGGGCGCCACCCGAGAAGGCGTGGACAGCCCGTGCGGACCGCGGCCCGAGCTGGCGGCGAGCTCTGCCGCCCGGACCGGCACGTGTTGCGCCACAGCCGGCGCCGCCTCACACCGGCAGCCCTTTCATTTTCAATCTGCGCGGACAAGACGGCGGTAACGAAGCCGGCTGGCGCCGCACAACCCTTCGGGGACCGCGGCTGAATAGCACACAAATGCCCGACGAGGCAGTGCGCGACCAAACCGCCAAATTGCCTGCCGG